GGGTGGGTGGGTGGTGAACGTTTTGCCTTTCCTTCTTTGCGGAAATTAGGGCTAGGTGCAGATGTTTTCGTGGGGTTGTTTGAAAAGTTACAACCCTGCTCCTCCGGGCTGTAAAGCTCCTCTTTGAAGTGCAAAGGCAATGCCAGGACGAAGAATGGAGGATCTTATAAAGCTCCCCACCCACATGGTGTAGCCTAGCCGAAGGAAAGGAATGCAAAGCAGCCCTTACGATTTAATCTCTGTGGATCCCTCCAACGTGGAATGGCCTCTGCGGATGGAGGATGGAACTCTGCACTGCCACAGAGCACAAAAATAAAACCAGGAGGAATCTGGTAGCGTCTTTTCCGACTCGCACATTTTATTAAAAGGCAGAAGCTTTCGTGAGCCGTGGCTACCAGATCCCTTCTGGTTTTTTTGCCAGCACAGACTGGCATAGCCGTCCTACAAAAATAAAACCAAGGACTCCATTTGCAGATAGGGAATAAAACCTCAGCTTCTTTTTTCTCTTCTCTAGAATGCAAGGAGAAAACAATTGATTATTCCTCGGAGATGTCCAAGGAAGCCTTGGGTTGGGCTCACCTAACGTGCTAACGAAACTCAGTGGATCACGTGCTGTGAATTCAACCCCCCAATCCTTTGCACGAACCAGCCCCCCCTCCCCCAGATCTAGACCCAAGAGGGTTAGCAACCAGGAATGTCCACGGGATGCGGGTAGAAAAGTCAAGATCGCATCTGGGATGGTGGGCTTGAATTCTGCCTGGGTTTTATGCGCCTGTGGACCATCGGGACCGCCGTTTTGGCTTGTGTGACCACCCTGTGCAGACAGCCTCCTGGTGCCCACCACCGCTTTGGTGAGCACAGGGCCAACCAGGTCTATCCTGGCTCTGTTGCTTCAGTTTTTTTCATCATCCTAGATGTTGCCCAGCGGTGAACCAGACAAGCCTCATTCCTGGGCTGGAGCAGGAGACCGGGCACCCTTCTCTCCACGTGAGCCAGCTGGCTTCTGGCTTCTTCCCCCGAGGAAGAGGAAGAATTTAAGCACTGGTGAGCCTGAACCACGCCGAGCTGGCTAGATCGTCCTCCGTCTACGCGGGCCTTCTTGACGCAAACATCGGCGTCTCTCCTAGGATTTGGATAAGCGTTTTTCTTCTCTTTTTAAGCTCCACCTGGAAATTCAGTGGGAACTCTCAGGAAACACATCTTCCGTCCTGAGCTCCAGCACTTTGAGCAAAACAAAGAAAACAGAAAGAAGGTCAAAACAGGGAGAGGGCACCCAGCCAAGCACAGCTGCTGTAGGCTGGCTCGGCACGCTGTCCTTTCTGATAATTGCTTTCTGAACAGGCAATCTTTATTCTACAGACAAGGAATCCTCCAAGACCACATCGCCACACATTTGCTAGTGACATTAAAGCAGCGGAAACAGAAAACCGCCAGCGAGGAGCTGTGGGCATTTGGACATGCGGTGATTTTTATGGCTGGGAGACACGGGATGGGAGCTGAACCGATCTGAACGGTGTCTGGTTGGAAACAGCACTGGGAGACTAGGTTCAGACGTTGTGCTAAGCTGTACTAGGTTACTGAATAAACTACCATTAGCTGTGTTTCTATTTCACACTAAACCAACATCTGAAGAAGTCGCATTGTGGCTTAGCATGATGGAGAAGTGCAGCTGGCCAAATAGGCAGAGGGTCTGATTAAATTATCTCCAAGATACCTTCCAATCTTTTGATCTTCCAGAATTCACATTACCCTGTTTGATGGCCAGGCAATGGTCCGATTCACAACTTGTGCTGGACTATGATTTAATCAGAGTTTACTGGATAAAGCAACGCTGGCTAAATTCACACAATGTGCTAAGCAACGAACCGTGGTTTATAAAACAGTGCCTACCATGGTTTGGGCTAAACCCCAAGCAAACCGCAGCCTGGCTTAGCACAACCTAATTTGCCTCTGGAAATGTTGGGGCCAGGCTGGCTGAGAAATCCTGCAAGTTCCGCTCCCAGCATATCCAACGGATAGCAGATCGGGGAAAGCTGGCATCTTGCAATTTGCTCTCTGCATCACTGTCTCTGGTTTCTGATGTCAACGTCACACCAAGAAGGTTAGACAGACAGAGGTATCTAATTACCTCTGAGGAGCCTCCACACTCAGGAGCATTCTGCCTTTAAATAACTAGGGGAACAGGACACCACTTATCCTCTGCTTGCAGGCTTTCCAGTCTACCACCTTTCTTCCAGTTTAAAACAGAAGGACGCGATCCGGAAGTGAGGAGATCAGCTGCAGAAATTCCAGCATGTATTTTTTTGCTAGCTGCTGGAGGGGGGCCTGCAGGGGAAGGAGCAGATGGGAGCCCAGCTGGTGTCACAGCCACTGCGCCGCGATGAACCGCAGCAACCCAGCAGGTGAGGGATCCTGCCAAGCCAGAGGCGGAAATGCGGAGGGGAGGAATGCTCGGCTCCGCTGTGGTCCGACCTGTTTGTCAGCCTCATTGAAATGCTCATTAATTATGTGCTGGGGAAAAGCGAGCCAGGGTGGCTGGCGTCAACAGGAGCACACGGGGCGGAAATGTTTTGCCCTGACGTTGACAAGCGTGGATTGTCCCAAATTGCTTGGCTTCCAAGGCTGACTATGAGTTGTGTAAGGGAGGGGGGGTGGCTAAATTAAACTTACAGGCTGGGCTGGGTTCATACATCACACCCCACTGGGTTAAACCTGACAAAGGCCAGCGCTCACCAAAGCTAAACATGTTGCACAACGCAGCTGCAGAATCAGTCATTAAGCACAACCAAGGTGTAGAGCAGCGTTTCTCAACCTAGGCAACTGGAGGATCGGTGGACTTCAACTCCCAGAATTCCCCAGCCAGCAAGCTTGAGGTTGCCATGCTTGGACCTACCAAGGAATGGTAGAGTTTGGACTCTGCTGCTGCTGCTAGAAAGCTGGTTGGCCCAGATCTCCTTTTCGGGTTCAGCTAATCTTCTGTGTTCCACCTTCACTTTCACAAGTTGAGCTCTCTTCCCTAGAGACAGACCAAGAGGGTTGTCCAGTGTTTCTCAGCCTCAGCAACTTTGAGATGTATGGACTTCAACTCCCAGAATTCCCCAGGCAGCATGGACCCCTTCACCCTAGAGCCACACGGACTAGCAATCATGAATGCCTACTTGGAATGGAAGGCCTTTGCACAACTCCAGGGTGAAACCGGACAGCCATGGCTCTCCTACTCTAGGACCCCAGTTGCACCCAAGGACATCAAAGAGAAGAACTAGGGGTGGAATATGGTTCAGTACAGCTGTATTGGCACTTCAGAGATTCGTTGCAAAGATGAGCAATTCATGTTTGGCCTTGCATCACCCCTCCTGGGCATCAAGGTTGGTGTTCAAGCAACCTGTAGGGTTCAACCAGATGAGGACATCCTACAAGGTTGAGTGTCAGAGAAGGTACAGCTCAACTGGGGCTGGTCAGCTCTCATCCCATTCTGATGGAATGATCCTGGGAATGATCCCCACAGGGGTGCCTGCAGAATGTGGTCAAAAAAGTCAATAGGGTGTTCATGGCAGTACAGTCAAAGCTCTGCTATTTTTTAATGTGCATCAGCCAGAATGGTGACAGCATGTAACATTTTGCACAACCATACACTTAACCTAATACAGTGTTTCTCAATCTTAGCAACTTGAAGATGTGGCTGGGGCAGGCTGGGGAATTCTGGGGAATATGCTGGCTGGGGAATTCTGGGAGTTGAAGTCCACACATCTTCAAGCTGCTAAGATTGAGAAACACTGATCACTCACCCAATCAAATCAATTATCAATGGCTCTGGCAGTGTAGACACACAGTCCAAGGGCCAAAAACCACTCTCTGAAGAACACGAAAGTTCCTGCCCACTTTTTCCAGGAAGTGCCCATAAACTCTGACAAAAGCGGAAGACCAGGGAGGCAACTTGACTTGACTTGGCCCATCTCAATGGCCAGGAGGACAGTAGTTGATGCAGCGTGGGCTCTCAGAAGTGGAGGTGCCTTCTGGAGCGCTAGAATTCAGCAGCCAACTCTGTTATGGAGAAATGGACTTTTTCAGCCATTCTCCCCCACCCCCCAGCATTTTCTTGGAAGGACTAGATTATGCAAAAAAACTGGGTTTAGCTATTCTCACAACCTTGAATGGATGGAGTCATGCGTGACTAAGTCTGTTTGCGGCTAAATTTAAGGGGGGGATTAGCATCAGGGGCATTCTTGGGTGTGGGGGGGTGTCAAAGAGTCAAGATGGCAGCCACAACTGCATGATCAAACCCCATCCCTTGACTTTTGTTAACCTCCCCATGGATGCCCCTATTAGTCATCCCATTAAGCCTGTGGCAACAGGGCCATTGAAGGTTCACACACCAGCCTGAATCCATAAAGTGGGCAATGACATTTTGGCCTGGTGTACGGTGTGATCCTAGGTTGGGCGATTGTGCAAACCTGTAAGATTGGGTTGAATAAACCATGGATCCATTAATCAACATTGAGAGGCTGCTATTCTATAGCTAAACATTTCCCAGGCATTTGGTGCTGCTAGGTTGAATGTGGAATCCAGGGAAATGCCCTTCTATTGCTTAGATTTTCAATTTGCAAGCCAAGGTTTACACCAGATGTGGCAAATGTTCACTGACTGGACGCACGTCACTCCTCACTCAATGGGGGACTCATAGAAAATGGGAAAGGCTGTGACGCATGGGTATTTCCCCCTAGGAACTTTGGGAATTACTTTGTGTGATGGGGAAAGGAAGAATTCCAACTGGGAGGTGCTAAATTCTCTTTGCTTTCCAAGGTGTGACCCACAGAATCCTAGGGATGTTGGAGGTCATCTAGTCTAGCCCCCTGCCCAAGGCAGGAGTCCTCAGACCATCCCAGGCAAATAGCTTTCCAACTTTGGCTTGAAAACGTCCAGTGATAAGGCGCCCATGACTCCAGGAGGCAGACTGTTCCACTGCTTGAGCTCCCACAATCAGGAAATCTGTCCTGATTTCAAGGTTGGATCTCCCTCTGTGAAGCTTCCACCCACTGCCTCTTGCTCTTGCCTCAAGAGCTCTGGAGAATAAATCCATTCCCTCTTCCCTGGGACATCCCTTCAAATCTTCTCTTTTTATAAGGGAAGCAAGGAGTAAAGACAGGCAGAAACCAACGTGTTCTGAAGATATAAATTTGCTTTTATTCATAGTATTGCTCCTTTTCCTCAGGGTGATATTTTGTGACCATTCCGCCAATATATGGGGAAGGGGTTGGGGGGAAGAAACTTTCTGGAGGAGATTATACACGCGCACACACCAACAGCTGCAAAGGAATCAACTTTCTGCAAATCTTTCAGCTAAATCCTTGTCCCAGCAGATGCCACCAGATCCTTGGAAATCTGTTCTTGCAGCACCAGATCTGAAATGCAGAAACAGGGTCCCCGATTCATTTCCCAGGCCTCCTTATAACATGTTTCATGTTCACCACCAATGCCATGGAAGAATGCAGTTGAAGGACCTCTTGAGTTCAGGTGTCAAGGGGCCATGTGTGTGGCTTCTGTTTCTCCCCCCAAATTATTCTTCTAAAGGCCTGCTTAGATGGAGTTCAGGATCCAAGAAAGAAGAGTTCCCACCAAGAGCAACCTGAGGTTCCACTGCCTTTCTTCTGCAAAAGCCAAGATGGTCGCTGCTCACAGCTCGTCGTGGGACTTTTCGGCTACAATCAGCACCTTGGAGAGTTCTGAGTGGAACTTGCCCTCCCGGTGAGCCACTGGAAGAGGAAGAAGATGGCAGAAAGGTGAAACTCAAGGTGGCAGGGCCCCCTGGCCAGGTTGGCTCTCAAGACCAACAAGCAGGAGCCAACAATTGGAGATGAAGGGGGGAAGATTTTCTCGGAAACCCTCAGCACGTTTTTCCCTTGAACCTACTCCTGTTGAATTGGAAAATCAAGCCAGTGTCTGTCTTGCCAACAGAGAAAAATTATCGTTAAAAAAAAAGAAAGAAATCTGCTTTGATAACCTAATACCTCTAACTCACCACCGTGAACGTGTCTATGTAGTAACTGAATTGAAACTTCTCTGGGCATTTCAAGAATCCAAAGAAATGTTAAGAGTGTGTAAGAGTCATTTAAAATCGCAGAATCAGTCAGGGACTGGACAGGCCTTCTCCCCCAACCTCCTACTGAAGAGCTAAAACCTTCTCAAGAAGCAGGAGGCAACTCTGTCTCAGGTTGAAGAATTCCAAGCAAGAAAAGCTCTAAAACCCACAGGCATCCTTTAAAAGCTGCAATGACATCACACATCACCATCCCTACATGATACAGTTATGGAATTTGCCTCGCTGCATGAGAACATGAGAACATGTGTCCCTTGCCTCTCCCATCCCCTGTGGACATCCATGACCTTCCTCCAATCTTTCAGGCGAGGGGGACCATTATCCACACTACTGTTTCTATCACCCTGCTCAAATCCTGCACCCTCCAACCACATGCTGCCTCGGAGTTAAGAGAACTCTCATTCCAGGAGCGCTGCGGGGCACCCAGCTGGGGAAAGATGGGTGATGTCACTTGGCGCTCAAGCCACAGATGGCTCCAAACTAGGATTAAAAATGCCTCCGCTCAAGGATGGAATTTGTCTTGTTCTTTGACCAAAGATTTTGCATGTCACAGCCCTGCCACAGGTTCGTCAGAAAAGAAAGTGGTTCGCTGGCAATCCACCCAGAGAAGAACACAGATTCTCTCTGCACTGCACTGTCCACCTGCAGCACCCCAGCATCCTTTGTACAACTCACCTGTCCTTTCCGTGGTAAAGAATTCTTCCTCTTTTAATGGGATGTCCTTCTGTTCTCCGACACCAGCCTTAGACTGAAAGACACAAACCCGTCAGCCAGGGACAAGACTCCAAAGGGTTCAACTCCACCCACTATTTTGATGGTCAGTCACTGGGACAAAGGGGAAGGGGGCCCAGGGTGTCTGAAGCAAGTTCAGAAAAGTCAAGATGGCTGCCCTGACCGTGGGATCGAACCCCGAGGAGACCACGGTGCA